TTTCTTCTTCCCCCATCTATGCAGTCAGCACCTGTCTGCAGCCTATGGTGGCAATAGGTCAGTATCCATCAGTGGCTTATGGTGGCAATATCCTGTTTTCTGCCCTGGTGCTCCTTTCTGGGGGCCCACTTGTGAAACAGCTTCACGGGTTTTGGGAAGTGCAACAGCAAACCACTCCCTGAACTAAGTCCTTTGTTCTTATGCTGCTAGACCAAACAGTTAATATAGTAGAAAGCAATCACCACTTTCTATTTTAGACTGCTCACAGTGGGGTCTTGCCTGTGACCTGTGCGGGTATGCTGTGTGAACCTGACTAAGAGCAGCGGGGAATGAGAAATAAGACACACACAGACATACAGACATAAAACAGAAAACCTGGGGATGGGAGGGCTGCATATTCCTGGTGGGAAACATGAGCACCTATCTGAGCCAGAGTGGTTATTTTATAGGTCAGTACAAGGAAAAGACTCAGGTAAAAATCAAGTTTTAACAATTCTTTGATTCAAGGTAAAAGGAATGAGGTTTGGTGGGCTAATTTTCCTAAGGCTAATGAAGCTTAATTACGACACATCAGTTCTGGAATCATCAAGGCACGCAGGACACCTTATCTAAGGTAGTGATTAATCTGGCATCAGTGAGTCTCCTAACAGTTCTGGTACTTTACCTAGTTTTGCATCAGGAGGCTGGTATGTGGACACAGCAGGTTGTATTCTTCAAGGAGATGTGAGAACAAAGGTCAAGACACCAGGTACTGGGAAAAATTTGGTAGGAGAGGCTGTGCAAACTCATACCATGGAGAGGCTATGCAAACTCCATTATTCCCAGTCCAGGCTCATGCCTGGTCTCCAAGAGGGCCTCCCTAACAGGAAGGGAAGGGAAGTAGGTCTGGACAGCCTGGGAAAACAGCCACTATTCCTTTATAGTGGAGGTTCTGAAAAGAAATAGTAATCCATTTAAATACTTTTTCATCTTCACTCAGTCTTCAACCAAAAGGCTGTCAGGTTCAACCTCTGAAATTGCTCAGGCATAAATCATTAACAGCTCCCTGATTGCCACAGTGAAGGACTTCTTCTTGAACATTTTTCTATAACCTTTAATATTGTTGATTACTCCCTCCTGGATGATCTTTCCTGTTCTTTCTCCTTTAGCCCTTCACAGCAAAACCCCTGTATCAGCTCTTCTTCCTTTTCACACAGTGTAAACATCTCTGTGTGACAAGTTTCTGTCATCCACTCTCTCTTCTCTCCTCAGCCCCTCCTTCTTTCTCCTCACTGTGCTCCCTTTTTCCTCACTTGATACTTTTATAGTTGGAAAGATCTTATCCATACTTCCCCCTCCTCCTGATGCTGGAGATAGAATCCAGAGCCTCACACATGGTAGGAAAATGTTCTACCATTGAGACATCTCCCCAGGTCTATATCTTACCCTAGAATCTCTGGAGGGGATCACAGGGAGCTTCTTAATTTATAGAGAAAACAGTGTTCATATTTACATCTTTTCTTGGAAGAGGGCCTAAGCCTTTTACCAGAAGTTTACAACATCAACCATGTGGTGTCCCTTCTGTCCCATCCTGTCTTCTGAGTTCCAGGGTCATATATCCAATTGACTACTTGGCATTTTTGTCTGAAATCTCCACAACTACCTCACTCTCAACAACAACAAAAGCTGAAAACATTCTCTCTCCCACCCAAAGCTATTCCTCTTCCTGTATTTACCAACAAGAAAACTGAGGCCTAGAAGGGTTAAATAAGTGGTAGAGTTAGTATTCCATCTCAGACCCATGTGAGAGCAGATGTCAGACATACAAAAAGATAGTGCTCCTTCTTTGTGGTCCTCATCACACTTGTAGAAGTACAGTTCTGGAAACAGAGTAACCTACATTGCTCTAAGCTTTTGCTCATGCCACCTCTTTTCCTGGAATGTCTATTCCCTCAAAAAAATCTTACAGCTAAACATACAATTGTCTTTTGTGATCCAACCAAAGCACTCTCTCCTCCATGTGGAGGATGGCAGTGGCCATTCTGTATAGACTCTTCCTCTATACAGAATGGCCATTGCCTTTCTTGTGCATAAGCGGTATTTCAAAAATGTTCTCATATCCCCCACAGCACTTCAGATACATAGCTATCTGGTATTCTCCTCCTAAGGAACTCATAAGTTCCGGGAGATGATAACTATCTCTGAATCTCAGGAACTTGTGGTGTGCCTGGCATTCCAATATTGAAGGAAAGGAGAGAGGAGGAGAGAGTAAGAGAGGGGAGGGGAAGGCTGGTGGATTGCTCAAATGGTAGAATGCCTGCCTAGCAAGTGCAAAGCCCTGAGTTCAAACCCTGATACTGCCAAAAACAGATACATAAATCCTTTTTTAAAAAAAGGTGTGGGGGGGAGAGGGAAAAAAAAACAACACTTCTATACAAGATCTCCGAGGACCATCTTTGTAAAAATTTTGCACTTTATTTGTCACTGTAGAATTAATCCTTACCACAACTCCAACAACAGTCCATTTGAGGATTGCTCAACAAGCACCAGTAAAAACTCCCTGGATGCTTTCCACTCGGTTGCTATCCCTTTTCCTCCTGTGCTCTCTCTCTTTCCTATATAGATAGCCTTTCCTCTCTACAGCTAACAATTCCCCCTTCATTTGAGCACAACAAATAGATGAGTCAGAGAAGAACATGAAACCTCAAAGTGAGTACTTTACACCACAAGTCACATGACAGAAAGCCACAGAAGAATAGAGAATGCCTGGGGGAGGGCTGGGTGTGGTGATACAAGCCTGTCATTCCAGTTTCTTGGGAGGCAGAAATCAGGAGGCTTGTGATTGGCAGCCAGCCCCAACAAAAAGTAAAAAGACCTGCTTTTAACAAATAAGCCAGGCTGAGCAATGTAATCCTACCTACTTAGTATCTTCAATCTGGAGAATTGCAGTTAGAGGCCAGCCCAGGCAAATAGTTCTCAAGATCTCCATCTCCAAACTAACCAGACCAAAAATGGACGAGTGACTCAAGCAGTACAGTAGCTGTTTTGCAAGCACAAAGCTCTGATTTCAAACCCCAGTCCCACTAAAAAAAAGAGAAAAAAACAAGCCAGATTTGGTGGTGTGCATCTATAATCCCAGGTTTGAAGGAAGGGTAGGCTGGCCCTGGGTAAAAACACTGGACCCTGTATGAAAAATAACCTAAAGCAAAAGGGATAGAGGAGTGGCTCAAGTGGTAGAGCACTTGCCTAGCAAGTGCAAGGTCTTAAAATCAAGGTCCTGTGGGGAGAGACTACTGAGAAGACCTTGTAGGAGTGAGTAGTTGGCAAAGGGGGAGGATTATTAATTCTACCCAGGAAAAAGACCAAAACAAAACTACAGAAGTGATTTTTGTATGATTCTGCAGGCAACCCTGCCTCCATTCTACCCCTGCTAAGCATCACTTGCCCACATCTGTCTGCTGCTCACCCAAGCCAGATGAGACCCACTCAGATGTCTGGGAACCCACTCGGGGAACAGCACTACCAAGCAGAGTATTTGATTTTCAGGATGGGGACTTGGACCGATGTGATGGTTAACAAAGTGGGGGTTAGAAAGGATGTGTTAAGTGTTGCAGTGGGGGTTGGAAAGAGAAGAAGAGGTTAACAATCTTACCACTTCCTGGCCCTCCACCTCCATCTTTTCTAGTAAGAAGCCCTGGGATGTGGCCATTTGGCTCATAGACCAGCCCGGACACATGGATTCCTGAGGGGCTAGAGCTACCCTGAGGTGCTGTAGCACAGCACAGACCAGGCAATGTCAAGTAGACTTCCTGTCCCAGCTCCCTCTTTGCTGCCATGAGGAGAGCAACCTCCTCTGCCAAATGCCCCCTCCACCATGAGTTCTGCCTCACCACAGGGTCCAGAAACACAGAGCTATGAACTGAAACTTTTGAAATCCTTTGATGCTCTCAGCAAAGAAAGGAAATCCATGAAGAAGAGTCTGCAAAGGATGATGATATGTGAAAGGGTGGAGTGTCTATTGGTCTTTCACTTCCTTCAGTTTTCATGGTGGAATTAACTATGATGGCAGAAGTGATGTTTTAGGTCCAGACATCACCAGCTGCTGTTTTCTTGCAGAAACCACAGTGCTGCAAGATCCCCACAGAAGTTCTCTTCATCCAAGTTTTGCCTCAGAAAGAGCAAGTGTACAATTCCTTTTGCCATTTTCCAGAGGAAGGCACCCTCGAACCCCAATATTTACCAGTGATTCTTACCTTCTAGGTGTATTTGGCCATGTCATCAACACCTAGGTCCAGCCCAGGGAGCATGTTTTTGAAATTCATATAATAAATAGAATCACACAGAGCGGGGGGAAATGAGTTACTATTGTTTTACCCTCCCACCTTTTCTATGATCCTCTCAGACTTTCACTGGTATTTCCTCTCTTAGAGCCCTTTTCTCTCCCACTTCCTGGGTTTTCCTAGCAGAGGATGGAGATTTAATGATCAAATTCACAATAAGAAGTTAGCAGCTCTTGTGAATTACATATCCCAAGGGCATGTGTATTTTGAATTTTGAAAGAAATGGTGGAGGTGATATTGAGAAGACACTTCCAGGTGTCTACTGATTTTAAATTAGTATTTTCTATATGCAGGCAGGTCCTGGGCTGAAATTGAGATGGGGCTGCGACAAGCAGGAGAGTGATAATTCTGAGATAGAATCAAGGGACCCCTGGAAAATGCCTCCCTTGAGGTTTATCCCTGGATAAAGCAATCCCATTCTTGGCCCTGGGTAGACCCAAACCCAGGATTTGAAGACAAACATCCTGAGATTGCTGAGATATGTTCTGATAGATTGTGTGTGTAGTTCCCATATGTTCAGCAGTCGCCTGTGTGGAACAGGCAGGCAGATGAATCTTGACTCCTTCCCTCCTGTTCCTGCCTTACCACAGTGCTGAGTCCACATTCAGAATCAGACAATGTTCCCGGAAAAGGAACCTCGTGAGTGATGCACTGAGGGGGTTGGGGAAAGGCCGTTTACTTCCTCTTTTCTAGTCAGTGAGGCCCCTGGAGGGCTCCAGATGTCTGTGGTGACTCCGTTGGCTCAATACAGCAGCATGTGGCAGCTGCTGTCACCAACAACTCTGCTACTTCTAGGTAAGTCAGGGTCACCTGGCTGAGGGAGAACTTAAAATTCCCTAAGTTCAGAAACCCCTTTTCAAGCTAGGGATGGATCCTCCACCAAGGGATAGGACCCCCACCTCACATCTATATCCCTGGATTAAGTTCCTAGAACAAACTGTCTGGGTGCTGTGGATAAGCAGAATGCTGGTTCTGCTTTGTGTATTTTTGGGGGGCCAGGTCAGTTACTTCACCCCTCTAGGTCTCCATTTCCCTATATGTCAATTGAAGACCATGAACTAAATAGTCCCTAAGGTTTGACTCTTGCAGTCTGACATGCCAGGTTTCCTTTGTGTGTGTGTGTGTGTGTGTGTGTGTGTGTGTGTGTGCGTGAGATAGGATTTTTCAAGATAGAGTCTCAAGAACTATTTGCTTGGACTGGCTTTGAACCTCGATCCTCCTGATCTCTGGCTCCTGAATAACTAGGGTTACAGGTGTGAGCCACCACCGGCACCCAGCCAGAGTTCCTTTCTACCTTTCATTTCTACTCCTTCGAGGGGTCTTAGGTCAAGGTTGTTTCTGAGCTTGATTGGGGGTAATTCAATCTTTACCTTTAATGTGTGAGTTTGAACAGGGAACAAGGAATAAGGGAACAGTGTCAAAAATAGGAATTTGGGTGTTCAGGGGCAGGAGGCATGGACATTGGAAACTAGAGGACAAGAAGCTGGAAAGGTATCCACTATAACTATCTTCATTCTGGGGAACATTGGGCTCCTAGGACAAGGGAGGGAGAGAGTTTAGATCACTCTACACTTCAGTCACCCCACTCAATTTCTGATTCACATTTTTTTTCTTACAGTTTCAGCTGGCATGCAAGCTGGTGAGTTTGCCCATGGTCTTGTATTGATCGAATGAGGCACATATGGGTGCAATGGCCACAGGATGTTGGGAAATGACAGCTACATAGGACACTGCTGATGTGAGATGGACAGGAACAGTCCCCAACACAGTGGAGCTTGGCCCTAGTCATCTCTGGTCAGTTTTTCTCAAGCTACAGAGCTGGCCAGAAATGGAGCCAAGTACCTCCCAGCCAAGATGCTCTAAGACTGAGTCACAGCCTCTGGCTGAGTCACCCACTGTGTGTTTGCAATGGGCTCACTCTAGCTTTGTCCCTCCCTGGGAATGCCAGGGGTGGGCTGCTCATCTCTCTGTTCTCACTCCGTTCTCTAGGCTCCCCAGCAGATCTCCCAAAGGCTGTGGTGCTTTTAGACCCTCCATGGGTCAGAGTGCTCGAGGAAGACTATGTGACTCTAAAGTGCCAGGGCACCTACCCCCCTGGCAACAGTTCTACCCAGTGGTTGCACAATGGAAGCCTCATCTCAAGCCAGGCCTCCAGCTACTCCATTAAATCTGCCAGAGTTGAGGACAGTGGAGAGTACAGGTGCCAGACAGGCCTCACCATGCTCAGTGACCCGGTGCTGCTAGAAGTCCACATTGGTGAGTTGGAGAAGGGGAAAAGGGGAATTGCTAGTAAAAGGCTGTAAAATACTAGGGAAGAAATCATCAGTATAGGACTCCCATACTTGTGATGAGCTGAAGATGATGGATGTTCTTAAGAATTAAATCTAAGAGATGATGATATTTGGTTCCACTGAATATCAGAGCTGTAATTCTAGCTGTAAGTAACCTTGTTAAAACATTAAAGCCTGTCCTATACTAGTTTCAGGACTGCTGCACTGAACAAATCCAGCAATCGCTGTTCACACAGATGAAAAGTACATGAATGTATTATCTGAAATCAGGGTATAACATTGATGCTCCATAATATTTATTAAATAAATTAATGAATTTATTTTCAGGATCTCAGATTCCTCACTCTCATATCTAACTCTCTCCACCAATACCATATTCAAACTCACACTTCAGCATAAATTTGGTCATGTGATACCCTTCCCAGTGGAGTTATATACAAGTTCAACCTGCATATTAGTCATGGAATGAAAGCCTTTGTGTGTATTTTAATAGCATCCTAACATTAAGTAAGAGGGATATTTTGGAGGCAGGGGTCTTTTCTGAGATCCTTCAGATCACACCACCTATCTGTAAGCTTGACTGTATTTCCATGACTGCTCCATTTGTACAATGTACATGGGTGAAACAGGCCTGGAGGGGAAGGAGGGCTTAAGGGAGGTGAGTCTGCATAGAATTATATTGAATTGGGCCTATGAAGCTGATTTTTATGGCTCTTATGCCTCTGATTATACCTCTCTGATACATGGCTCTCACTTCATGAGACTACAAGAAGGAACATCAATTATTTAGCTAGTGGAGAGGTGGTCACCCAAGACCAAATAAAATGTGGAATTGCCAAGAGAAAGCAGTAGAAAAATCAAGTCTAGGAAGGACACACACTTAAATAATTAACAGGAGTTTCTTTTTTCCTCTGGGGGAATGGGACCAAAGGTCATTTTAGTTTTTTCCCTTTTTTTTTTTTTTGTGGTACTGGGTGTGAATTTCGGGCCTCAGACTTGCTAGGCAGGTATTCCACCACTTGAGCCAATCCACGAGCCCTGTTTTGTGTTGAGTTTTAAGATAAGGTCTCTCAAGCTATTTGCCCAGGCTGGCATGGCACCTCAATCCTCCTGAGCTCTGCCTCCTGAGTAGCTAGGATTACAGGCGTGAGCCACCAGCGCCCAACTAGTCTAAGAGTTATTATTTTGCCTTGAACTTGGCTTTAGATACCAACTTTAGAAGTCTAGTCAACAAGGACTATGTAAAATTGTGACCATGATCATGACCCGGAAAACTCCAGATTATCCTGTAGGACCCATTTCTATGTGTCATCTTTTAGAAGCTTGCTTTACTTTCTTCAGTAGAATTTGTTTGTTCCAGTCTCATTTGTCCTGCAGCCCCTCATTCTTAGCCTGTTGTAGTACTTATCACATTGTATATTAACATTTGAGAGTATATATGTTTCTATGTCTAGACTGTAGGTTCTTTGAGGTTGGGGACCATATCTCTTCATCATCTGAGTATCTCCAGTCTACAAAGTACCTGGCACATAGTGAATGTTTAATAAAATGTTGAATGATGTATATATGAATATTCACTGAGTTCATGGCAGGACATACTGAACTAAGACTATTTGAAGACCACCAGACTCTGTACATATCAATTATAATCTTATGCTAATAACAATTCATCCCTGTGCTAAAAAAGTAAGAAGACACATGGATAAATGGTCTTCTTAATAAATGATATGCACATTTTACTTTTAGGGTTCTTTTTTTTTTTTTTTTTGGCAGTACTAGGGTTTGAACTCAGGGCCTTGTGCTTGCCTAGCAGTTGAGCCATACCTCCAGCTCTTTTATTTCTTTATTTTTGAGACAGGGTCCCACCATGTAGCCCCAGCTGACCTTGAATGCAAAATCTTCCTGCCTCAGCCTCCCAAGTGCTGAGATTACAGGCATTCGTCACCATGCCCAGCTGATAAATTATGTATCTTTTTTTTAAGTGATAGTAAAGTTTATTAGGAAAGGAATACACTTTCAATAAAGATTGACTTCTATTTGGCAAATGTTGCTGGTGGAGAATCTTCACCCAAATATTCTACAAATTTTGTTTAGCATAAAATAGTAGATTCTTAAATTGTAGCAAATTTTGCTTTGTTCTTACTATAAAAGTCATTTGGGTTTGACTTCAAGTATAAATAAAAACAAAAGGGGGCTGGAGGAGTGGCTCAAGAATTAAGAACACCTGCCTAGCAAGTGTGAGGCCATGAGTTCAAACCTAGTACCACCAAAAATAAATAAAAGAGAGGAAACTAAAATGACCTTTGGTCCCACTCCCCCGGGGAAACTCTTGTTAATATCTTAATGTGTGTCCTTCCCTTTGCTTTTCCCATACAATTTGTTTTTAGGTTAAATTTACCATTACCTCATCAGTGTTTCTCATGCTATCATCATTTCTATCACTTTTAATTACTCATGTCCTTTCCTGACCATGACTTCACATTCTCTCTATGAGACTTCTGGTGAGATGGGTGTGAGAACAGGTGTCCTAATGATAGATTTTCCCTCTTGAAAGCCGTGCTCAGTAATGAAGATGGTATCGCTGAGGTCCCATGGCCTGTCAGAACCCTCAGGGCCCTGTCAGTCATGTTGCTTGTGTTGCCTCTCTCTCTCTCTCTCTCTCCCTTTCTTCTTCTTCTTCTTCTTCTTCTTCTTCTTCTTCTTCTTCTTCTTCTTCTTCTTCTTTCTTGCTTTCTCTCCTTGACTTTTACATTGAGTACTCCTTCACCATTCACAGTTACTCCTGTGGCCACCTGGTCACCTTATTCCTGACTCTTGTGAGAGTCTTTCAATATTCCTACAAGTGCCTATTCCCTCTGAAATCTACCTTTTCCTAATGAAGCAAACCCACATTTTCTTTTTTTTTTTTTTTTTTTTTTTTTTTTTTTTAGGGTTTTGCTTTAGTTTTAATCGACATTTTGCTCAAAAGTATAGAACAGTGAATATTTTAATGGCTCAATATTTAAGGTTACAAACAAAATCCTTACACCAAATAGTTACAGTATCCTTCAGTTATTTCACATTAAATGCAGTCTAAAAAAAAAAAGTCAGTGCTGTGCTTGAGTGGAGCACAAGAAAAGCATTTCAATTTTTTCACTAGAAAATTAAATCTAGCACCATTAAATAAATAATAAAACCACTTTATAGGTATGAAAGTATCATTTCATTAGGGGAAGAATCCAGTGCGCTAGCAGTGCAAACAGCAGCAGCATTTTCAAAGTTGAGGTTAAATTTTGTAAACACATGGCACATACTGCACAGCGGTCATGCACTTCTTGGTTGAGCAATCCAAGGACGCCTGTTGAGACTCTTAGATTCCCAATCTGAAAGGCTACCACAAATTTTAGACCATGGGCTACAAGCCTCCCCTTTAGGGGAGTAGGATGGAGTTCTTTTTCTGATGAGCTAACTAGTAGCATTTCTAGTCCAATTCAGCCTTCTAGGCCGATGTCCACGTTAAGAGGCACACCTGATGTGATCCTGACTTCAGTGGAGGCATCCAAGTGTGGAGTGAATGTAGGTGAGGAGTGATACCCTGAGTTCCTCAAAGTGGATACTGCTTGGAACCAGGGCACTCCAGGTCAATGTGGTTTTTACCTAGAACTTACTGTGATGCCTCACTACCTTCCAAAACTGATCCAAGTCTAGCACTTAAAGATCCAAGGCAGATAACCTCAGCCTTGCTTCTCACCTACCTCATTTTCTGCACTAACCTTATGTCTTGATCATGTGTGTTTGTCCCTGTTCTCCATTAGACAAAAGGTCTTGGTGTGACTTAAGTCCTCTTTCAGGGCCCAATCAGCCTTTTCCCAAGGGGAGCTATGTAAAATGGCCCCAGTGTGACTTTTCTTTATATCACAGTATATGGGTGGTGGGCATTCCCTTTAGAAGAGTTCTGCATTTAGAACTTGGCCTCCTGGCCTGAGGCCTATCTGTGTCTTTCAGGTTGGCTGTTGCTCCAGACCACTCAGTGGGTGTTCCAGGAGGGAGACCCCATTTGGCTGAGATGCCACAGCTGGAAAAACAGGCCTGTGCAAAAGGTCACATATTTACAGGATGGCAAAGGCAAGAAGTACTTTCATCAGAACTCTGACTTCCACATTCAAAAAGCCACAAGCAGCGACAACGGCTCCTACTTCTGTAGGGGGCTTATCGGGAATAACAACAAGTCTTCGGAGACTGTAAGCATCATCATTCGAGGTGAGAGTTGGTAGCCCAAGGCAGCCCAGAGCCCTTGTGTGTGGGCAAGATGAGTTGGGAGGAGGTGCCTGACTCCACAGACTTCTTTTTTTTTTCTATGGGGTTCCTCCTGGTGACTAACAGAAACTGGAAATCCCTGCATCCTGTTCCAGCCTATTCCTAAAGAGTAGCTAAGAGGTGTCATTCACTCTCCAGCATGACAGCAGGAGACCAGGCCACATTTCCTCTTTACCCATGATGCCATGTGCTCCTGTCATGTGGGCCATTTTTTACCTACACTCTCTTCCCATGTAAGAATCAATTTTTAGCCAAAAGCCAGACTAGTGGGAGCCCCCAGCACATTTCAGAGAGGGGCCAGACCCTGGATTCTGTCTCCTTCGCTAGGTAACTGTGTGTGACTCTAGGTGAGTCACTTATTTTTCTGAACCTCAGCTTCTTCTCCATAGCGAAGACGAGTTGATTATTTGTTGGGCACCTATATAATGTGCTAGATTCTTTTCATGCACTTAGATTAACAATAATAGTGAACCTCCTCGACTTTATGAGTCAGGTAACATTGACTCCATTTTTCAAAGCAACTGAGGTACAATAAATAAAGTAATTACAGTTACTAAGAACACCTCAAAGGCTTCAAACCTGAATATAGAACCATTAAGGACTGGAGGATCTGGAGGTGTGGTTCAAGCAGTAGAGCATCTATATGAAGCCCTGACTTCAAAATCTAATACTGCCAGAAAAAAAAAAAAAAGAACTGGACAGGACACTAATATCTCAGAATAGCATTTTGGATCCCATTAAGTCACTTAGAAAACATTTCTAGCTTCTGTTGATACCAATCTTCAGGATGAGAGATTTAGATCTGTACTATCCCCAGACTTTCTGATTTTACAGAGCTATGTATAACTGAACCAAAATATAAACAATTTACTGTTGTAAATTGTTATTTTTTTTTCTTTTTTGATGGGAGTGGGGATTAAACTCAGGGCTTTGCACTAGCAAAGCAGGCATTCTACTGCTTGAGCCACACCTCCAGGCCATTTACTCTGGCTATTTGCTTTCAAGGTTGGCCTTGAACCCAGGGTGGCCTTGACCCACACACAGGCTTCCTGATCTCAGCCTCCCAAGTAGCTGGAGTATGGTCACAAGTCACTGTACCCAGCTCATTGCACTTTAAATTGAAAGTAAGTATTTGTCCCTCAGTATCTGTGGGAGAAAGACTTCAGTATCCCTCTCCTTAAAAATACCAAACTTTGCAGATGCCCAAGGTTCCTTTGTAAAATGACAGTATTTTAATATAACCAGGTCAAATCCACCATATATTTTAAATCACCTCCATATTACTTATAGTATCCAATACAGTATAAATAATTGTCATTCTGTATTACTTAGGGAATAATTTTTTTAAAGTCTGTACCTGTTCAATACAGAAATAATTATTGTTCAGATTTTTTTTTGATGCTATAAGGATTTGAACACAGGGTCTGCATACTTGCTAGGCAGATGCTTTTACTGCTTAAGCCACTTCACCAGCCCTAGTTTAAATATTTTTTATTTAAAGTTAGTTGAACCCACAGGTTTAGAACCTGTGGGTACAGAGGGCCTGTTGCAAGGCTAGGGAAAGAGAGGAAATGATAAGCAAATGAGATGAGATATAAATAATCAGTGAACCTGGATAAAAGATATATGAGAGTCCTTTATACTATTTATACTTCTTTATTCTATTCTGGTAAATTTGTTTGAACTTTAAATTTATATCAAAATTAAAAGTTAAAAATATTGAAACTAAAATCCACAAATTTATACCAGTTTATACACACCAGCATTATCTGACAGCTTCATAATGGTCATGCAACACCCAGCAACAACCTAACTTGTTTCATCCCCTGCAGACAAGCAGAGCTGTGGCTAAGACTTCCATGAGCTGAATGGAGCTCAGGTAGCACTGAGATCAGTACTCAGTGGAGGGAGCAAAGAATTCCTCCAGAGTCCCCCACCATTCATTTCCCAGAACCTGATTCTTGCAGGTGTCAGGAATGCTGTCCATAAGTAGCCTCACCGTTTAGTCCTGATTTCTACCTAAATGACTGGCATTTTTCTCATGTCTCTACTTCGCCTACTAGATAATTCAGCATCTCCATCCATCTCATCAGTCTTTCTACCTTGGCACCAAATCATCTTCTGCCTGGTGATGGGAGTCTTGTTTGCAGCAGACACGGGGCTATACTACTCTATGCAGAGAAACCTTCGAAGCTCAATGGAAAACTGGAAGGACCACAAATTTCAATGGAACCGGGATCCTCAAGACAAATGACCCCTTAGCTCATGGGGTAGAGAGAGCAGTGGCACAGCATCTATGAATTTCTCTGGATTTGCAACTTCATCATCTGTGTTAGGCACCTCCTAGAGCAGGGAGAAAAGTATAACTCAAGAGCCTGTGCTGAAGGCCCTTTCTTCAACTCTCTGTTTTCTCTTGATCTCCACTGGGGTGATCTCCAATGAAAAGCAAAGGCCTGCAATCTTTAAGGGCTAACAGAGAAGCCCCAGTAACCAGCCATACTCCCAGAAATGGAAGTCTCAGAGCTATACACTTTCTCTGTCCCAACCAGTCCCACATAGCAAGGCAACAATACAGGCTCTGGATAGTACCTTTTAAATGTAGGATAATTATTCCTAAATAAGTGCATAAGTAGATAAGTGAATTAATGGTTGAACAGGGCCTGCATCTGTTGCTCCAGGGCTCAATGCCTTCAGAGGACCCTCAAACTCTTTCCAGACAAAGTGTGAGAATTGCTGAGGATCTAAGCAATTAGCAGAGCAGATGAGGGGGATGGTTGAGAAAGAGCAGGGGAGCCTGGGACACAGCAGGGAGATGCCATATTTGGGCCCAGAGATAAGGCTGCCTTCCTAGAACAGGAGCCATGGCAGAGTTACAGAAAATCACACTGGTGACATGGACTTGAGCTTTCCAGGGGTGTCTCTATCAGAAATGGGATGGTCTGTGAGCCTATAATGATGAATCCTCTTAATGCTGTGAGTAGAAAATAGGGCCAGGAAGGGAACCAGCCTTGCAAGACCAGTCCTCGTGTTTGAAAAGCATGGAACAAGTACTGTGTGAGCAGAGATGGCTGAGCATTTGAACTGAGAACATTCGTCATGAAAGTGTCATCCACTAGTTCACAGGAAGAAACTGGCAGGGGAGTGGGGGAGGGCAAAGACAGGTTTGTTGACCAAGGTAGTAAGAATTAGAGTGAGGAAGGGCAAGGACTATAAAAAACAGCTTTTCTGCTTCAGTACTTATTCCAGGTATAATTTGTTCACATCATTCATTAAACAAATGTTGGCTAACCCACACTCAATGTCCTGAGCACCCCTGACTTAAATGATGAAACTTTGAAGTCCTCAGCATGGCAGTACCCATGGGAAGACGATTGTTGCTTATGGAAGAAAGCTTTAGCTACCTTTTTCTGCTTTAGATGTTTTTAATAGAGCATGTCTTGCTTCCAATAAAGCATTTTACAAGATCTGGCATGCTACTCAAAAAGATGGGAAAAAATACGACAATAAAACATGAAAGATAAAATCTTGTTTTTCCTTCCTTTTGTTAAAATTCTATTCTGTGTGAGATTGGCTTGTATTAATGAGAAACCCGTCTTCTCTCCATAACCATATCACTACAACTCATGTGAATAAGCCAGCTTGCTTTCCAAATCTTGCTGGGACAACTGAATGAGGGGTTGGATTATGGGTGATACAGGATAGGAGAGTGGGTGGGAATTGAAGATCATTTCAGTGCATTGGGGCTGGTAGGAGGAGCCACAGCTAAGCAGGAGGTAGAGACCTCGGTAGAAGTAAAACCTAATTGTGTGAATTATAAGTTATATGCCAAGAATATTACAGAAAAGTGTATGAAGATTAGATGAGATTTAGACAGCAGACAAGTGCATCCAGAGGGAGAGAGGAGAGTTCTAAGGCGGGATCCTGAAGGGCACTGGTGTCCAAGCTAAGGAGGTGATTGCATCAGACCCTGAAAGTCCTTGAAGGAGTCTAAGCCGATCTGGTTGGATGCAGTCCCAGTAATATTAAAGAGGCTGACCCTCCAAGAAGTGGGAGCAAGGACAGGACCCAGGAACCGGGTGGTGCTCGTCACACAGGTCATGAACTACAAAGATACCGTGAAGGGAAAGATAAAAAATTCACCTTTCGATTACTGGGACTGTACTTCCTCAGGTCAGTAAATTCTTGCGAAGCGTCGGTTCCATTACGCAATCACAGCGGTTACAGCAGCTAAAACCAAGTGCAACACTCATCGCTTACGCCAACGGCTTCCAAACCATTAAGGACAGCCACAGAGCTCCCGGGAGGTTTAGGAGCAAACGTTTTGTTTTTGAGTTTCCAGGTACACAGATCCCAAGATACAAAACATCACCCCCCGTCCCTGGGTGGGCTCGAACCACCAGCCTTTCGGTTAACAGCCGAACGCGCTAACCGATTGCGCCACAGAGACAGGCGATGAAAACTTATGCTGTCAGGCCAGTTCACTGAAGAGTAAATTCGTAATGCTCTACGTCTGCAAAATGCCGTGGCTGAAGCTGACGTGGGGCCGGTGGGATTTGGCCTTTCCGCGCTGCGGGCAGGCTTTCACCCGTGCTCGCTGCTCGCTTAGCTATACAGTGGGGCTCGGCTCTGCCCACCAGAGACGGAAAGGAGAGCAGAAGAGGATGAACCAGCGAAGGGTCCTTGGGAAATTCAAGATGGATGCTTTCCCTGGGCTTGAAGCTCAGTTGGTTTTGCTCTGTAATAAATAATCTTTATTTGCTGATCTAGACAATGTATGTCTGCATGTGTGCCTGTGTGACTAGGGGCTCGTAAGAAGATTATCGTTGTGAAATTACAAATATTGTATCACGTGGCCAGTCATGTCCAGCAAAAGGAAGTATCTAAGTAAGGGCTGTTTGGGTAACAAAATGAATCTTCAACCCCAGCTGGTCTGAAAAGTTTCTACTCGCTGTGAGGCCCTCAGACGGAATACCGGGCTTCGAAGTGCCTGTAACTTAGGGACTTTCACATTCACACACCCGGACCCAAATAGCTAAGGACAGGGACCCACCCCCCAGTCTACCCCCATCGACCAGGGATCCTCGTCAGGCCTGGGTCTACTAAGCCTTTTTAAAAATTATCATATTATTTTTGTGTTAGGGGTATATTGTGACATTTACAGAAGTTCTTACAATATATCATAGTTGAATTCACCCCCTCCACCATTCGCCTTTATCCTCCCTCTCCCGTAATGAGCCATTTTTCTATGTTGCCCAAGTCCCAGGGCCCCTCTGGAGTCCCCGCACAGAACCTTCTTCTTTTCTGCACTGCCATCCGCCAATCAGGGGGTTTCAGTTTAGGTGCAGGTCAAAGTTTTCAAGGACTTCAGTGAAATTAAAATACAAACAGATATCCATATGTAGAAATTACATATGTGTGTGTTCACCGGTATTTTATAAAATATGTATTTGTATTTTATTTATACATATATTTGCCAAATGACTTTACACTGAGGTTTTCTTTAACACTTTCAATTCTTGTTTTTTAGTGTTCTTTCTTTTATAAAATTATAATTAGGATATATGATAGTTGGTGAGGGTGTGGTTGTTTCACTTCATCTCCTAACTTGGCAAAATGAAAAGTTTGGGTAGCCAACAATTAGGGGGAAAGTCTGCTCGTCTGTGCAGTTCAAGTTTGGGAACAACTACTCTGAGCTTCTCCTCTTGTACTACATTGGCAGAAGTTAAATGCATCGCTTTTCAGTTTATTCCAAATGCACACATTTCCTAGGCCTCACTTTACAAGCACATGACGGCAATCCAAAAGAAGAAAGGGTCGCTCTAAAAGAATAAAAGAAACCCCGACCCCCTGTAGTTTTTATTTTTTGTTGTTGCTTTTGGTTTTTGTTTGGGAGGACTCACGTTTGAACTCAAGGCCTCACACTTGCTAGACAGGCGCTCTACCACTTGAGCCACTCTACCAGCCCAGTTATTTTTTTAATTAATAAAAATTATATATATATATATATATATATATATACACAATACCAGGGGAAAATTGTGTATTTGTGGTTAAAAAAAAAGTCAAGATGGATTTTTAAAATCAACTTTATTCCACGTAAAAGACATTAAAAATGGAAAGAAACAAAGATTGAATGAAAGCAGATATGCCAGGAATATTCTAAAAAGAAGAAATATGAAATACAGGTTTTAATATCAGGCAAAATAAAGTTTAAGAAAGAACACATCATTAGTAATGAGGGTGGTTACCATATAATAAAAGGTTAAACTCATGATGAACATATAATAATTATAAATATATAAAACTTTAATGAAATAGCATTAAGACATAAAAAGTAAGAATTATTACTTACAAGGGAAAAGTAATAAGTCCATCAACATAGAATCATTATCCATCTCTCAACACCTGATAGATCAAGGAGAGAAAAAATATTATTAGGCATATGGGTGTAACACATTTAGGTGCAGGGAAGAGAACAGAGTTCTAGATTTACCTCACTACTATCTCAAAATAATTTCAAGAAGAAAAATAAAGTGTCAAAAAACAAACAGAAAAATTTTTTTAAAAACTACTCTGTGAGCTAAGGGTATAGGTCAGTGGTAGAGCACACCACCACCACCACCAAAAAAAAAAAAAAAAAAGCCAATTTGATCTTATACTGGAGTGGGAAAGGTTGTTCTACATAGAAAAAGTGAAAAAAAGAAAAGAAAGAAAAAGTTAATTATCAGAAAAAATAATATTAGAACCCGAACTTCAAAAATGCAGTTAATAAAATTAAAAAGCAATTCTAGTTTCCATAATGGTGGAACAGACCACTCCACAGATCCCAACTATAAACTCTGGCCTAAGTTTTCTTTTTGAAAGCTGTTTGAAGACACTGGAGGGGAATCAAATCAGACAGAAAATCAAAGAGGAATCAAGCCCTGGAAGAAGGAACCAGGGAGGGTAAAATCCCCCCCCACCCCACCAGCCACACTCAGACATAAACTCAGGCAGAAAACAGCAGTCTTACTGGTCTAGTGCATCAGGATGGAATTTAGAGCTGCCTGCTTTGAAAGTGTAATTCAGAAAGGAAGGAGCCAGGTGGGGGGAATCAAATCTGCAGAGAATTCTCCTTAACTCCTTGCCTGGCCTCTGAAGTAGACACTCCAGGGTGAAAATCATAGCTCCAAGACTGAAGTAGATTTCAGAGGCTGCCCAGACAGAGGAGACAGAAAAACACTGGGAACAGCATAAACATTCAAAAATAGATTTGCGAAAGAAATTTTGATGTAGCCAAATAGCATAACACAATAAGTGGCTAGAAGGATGTTTCAGGCTAATGTTTAATGAATGTAGAACTTGTTACATTTCTAAGTAAAAAGTCAGTGGGGTTAAAAAAACATGTCAATATGGGAAATCTATATTTCTCACTCAATTTTACTGCAAACCTAAGACAGGTTTTTTAAAAAGACAGCCTATCAAAAAATAAAAGGCAATATGCACAGTTTTATTCCAACTTTACTTTTGAAACACTAAAAAAAAGAAACAGCAAGGACAGCTGGGGACGTAACTCAATGGTGTGCAACAGGAGCCCAACACTGGAGGGAAAAAAATGCAAAAGAGATACACAGGAAAATATTAACAGGGTTTCTCTGGATGGTGGCTACATGGGTGGGTGCCTTTTATTTGTTTGCAATTTCCTTATTATTCTCTTATTTCTTTTGTGCAAGGACTTTGTATAACTCTTCCATACAGGAAAACTAGTTTTTTCTTTTAAGAAAAAAAAAGCATATTCTATGTGCCAGATTCTTTCACCCTCAAAACAACCACTCAGAATAGGTACAGTTATTACCATTATATATATATTAGATGATGAAACAGAGGCGCAGAAAGATTGAATACTTGGCCAAGGTTAAAGAGCTAGTTAAGTGGAAGAGTTGAAATTCAAAGTCTGACTGTAAAAGTCACACTCTTTCCTAGTACAGGACTCTACTTCAAAGGACTTTAGAGCCACAAAGACCCTCAAAGACTATGGAGTTTAAAGTGCTCCTCGGTTTTAATGAGGAAGAAACCAAGTCTAGAAAAGTGAAATGACTTGCCCCAAAGCAAACCATTCGTTAGTAGTTAAAAAAAACCAACAGCAACCACGAACAAAACAAAAAGCCAGGCCTCCTAATTGCCAGACCAGTGCTCCTTTCTGTGCATGGTTTAGGCATGAAATCTTTGTTAATCCCCGTCACCCATGGCAGGGGTGGTTGTTTCCCAAGTCTGCACACCTAGTGCAGAATGGAGTGCAAAGAGTGCAGACTTGATTACTTGGGGTGCCCACTGCAGAAGAGCAGCGAACATGGGAGAAAGGTAGCACCATCCCCCGCTGATGGCAAGGAAGAAAGATGGGAATCCAGAAGCCAGGGCTCAGGCACAACCTGAATTCTAGGATTGCCTTCCTGTGAGCATCAGGGGGTCCTGGTAAAACAATAAACCCCATAGCAGACCCATTCAGTGGCGAATGAGAAGAAAATTCGCTTACTGGATTCATCACCCATCACCTTAAG